ACATATCTCCGCGCGTCACGACATTGAGGTACGCGTGCTCTGTGTCGATGGTCTCCTGCTCTTCGGGCAACAGTATGTGTCTCTGAGCCCCCCATTTGCCCCCTTTGTATATATTGCACACCAAATCTAATTCCTTAATCTTTTTGAACGGACTTTTAGTGAAGTCGATGTCTTTCGACAGTTTCTGGTCGTAATCGAAAAGACACCGAATATAAGAACTCCCGGTTCTAAACGCAGACAATTCAATAGACCAATCACTCCATTGCAAGTGCTGTCATTCGCGACGAGCCATATATTTTAATTCAAATAATAAATAAGTGCCTTGAACGCTTGCAGTGTAGCAAGATATATTAAAATGGTATCATAATTCTAGTTAACATTCTTACTAGGCTTGCCAGACGTTCAGTTTTGGACTGGATTGTCCAGTTTCCAGTGCAAGGTAAAACTGGACATTCATATGTATAATTTTGAAATATTTTGCAACACAATGAATATTTTGCTGCAATTTACATTATTGCATGTTGTATATAATTACAACAAATTGGGACCACATTATTTGGTAAAATATAAATTTCCTATAAACTAAACCTAAATCTACAATGCTATTATATTAAGTTAAAATAATGTATCATTTAGTATACAACAGTTAAACTTAATTCAATTCATGCTTTATATCTCCAGGACTGGGCAATATTGACAACAATACAATTATGCATTTATCATAATAAGTTGCAATAAAAATTGGATTCCAATAGTCATTTCTAAGTTTAACAAATATAAATGCTAGTAATAATATAGTCAAATTCAAAAATATTAATAATGTATATTAGCTTTATAAAAATATTAGTTATATTTTACTTTAGAAAAACATAAATATGATTCAATTGTTACTATTAATAATATTTTAGTTAATAAATTAACGCGAAAAATTTATTATTGTGTGACTTAACAGAATAGTGTTAAGGATTATGTCCAGTTTTTGTCCAGTTTTGGGGTTGATTTTCTAATGAGAATCCAGTTATGGTTGAAAATAATCTGGCAACTCTAATTCTTAGGCACCAGAAACCAAATTTAATAAAATTTTCAATAATAGTTAAAAGACAGGAATATTTTATATGTCACCCGTCTATATAATGTATTCCTATGGGAAAGAATTTATTTAGGTAAAAATGATGGATGAATTTTAATTACAATCGATCATGCTCAAACAATAATCGAGACAATACAAAACTTCTGATTAGTGAATTATTACAAGATTGTAAATTAATTTTTAATTTAATTGTTATAAAACTTCTCAAAAAATACAAGATTTAAAAACGGAATATAATATAATGTATTAAAAGATATTGAAAAAAGAGTCAAATATAAAGATATTATGATTACACATAAACTAATAAATCAATCAAATGTTTCAATTTTTGTTAATTGTGTTAATTCAAAAAAAAATACGAATTGGGAAAATCAGATTTAAAACAATTAAAAATATAGTTTAATTGTGATGTGAGCTGAACGGGGGGTAAAGTGTTCGGCTCCCAAAACATCAAATAATCACACAATTAATTTAATATAAAAATGATTTTATTAAAAATTAAACTATCTGAAAAAATCTGAATTATAACCACATTATAACTGAATTCATTACATGTTGTGCTCTGTCTTATATACCCAGAAGATGAGCTCATGATAAGAAAAATAATAATTAACATTACATTAAATAGTCATTCAATACTCTTATGAAAATAACAGAAAATTAGGTATTAAGCATATGAGTACAGAATGTGAAATACAATAATCAAAGTGAATAACACATAATAGTGAAAGACATTCTGAATACAAAAATAATTAATACAAATAAATATGATTCTAAATATAGTTAATACATGTCTAGTCAAAGCAATATATAGTCAAATCACTTCATGGCCCCAACCTAAAAGACACGGTCTCCGCTGTCTCACACAAAACAAGTGATCTGTTGATAATCAGCTATAAAAAATGTCTTTACAACACACAAACAATACAATACATTAAATAGCATAACATTTCAGTACAACAGAAACTAAATGATTAACGTATTAGACGTTGGATATCAAGTCGAATCAAACCGAAGTTAAACATATTCAATACAATTCACAATATACTTGTTGTCCGATACTCGGTCCGACCTCGTTCCGGAGTCGAGCCACCATCTGTCCATTCATGACGTTCAGTTCGACCTCGCCTGGGCTTGCAAGTCTTGGCCATACATATCTTTAAACTCGTGCATCCATTCATCTCACTATCGGACTTCGTACCCGATCGAAGTCAAGTCACACCCGTGCCTATTCCATGTTTAACCGAGAATCGCCCACTTACACTCGGTATTAAATTTATCATATCGTCGGCAAACCAGTCGTGCATTCATTCCAGTCTCCGAATATGTTTACAATGTTCACAATCTTCACAACCTCTCAACGCATCCGACGGTATACTTTGGTCGTTAACTACTGTTCGACGGCTTTTTAAGGGTTCCCGAAGCGCACGCGAACACGATTTCGTCACAATTGTGTACTTAATTAAGTATATAAAAAAACCATTATCCCATAAACTTAACATTACTCATAGGATTAGAATTTCTATAACATTATCATTGTTCATGTTAAATATATATAAATAACGTATGTTGGTATTTGATAAAAACATATGTAAAATCATTACAATGTTAAACACATGAGAGTATCCCACCGTGTTAACAATAGTCGTAAGATTATCATTGTATCTCATAATTAAACATTTCATGTTTAAACACAATTAGACTGTATCTGCGGTAAATGATGACTTTACGCCCAAGTTGTCTTACCAACACTTAACCTGTATTCATGGTCAAAAATCTGGTCGGTCACTGCTTGCCATTGAAGTGCCTATGAACCCACTTCACTTGACCGCCCAAAAAAACATGGAACGCATAAATACCTAAAAGATTTTTTATACAGCAAGTATCATGTTTAAACACATTAGGTGTGTATGTGCCGTAAATGTTGACTTTACGCCGAAGTTGTCTTACCAACATTTAACCTGTGTTCATGGTCAAAAATCTGGTCGGTCACTGCCTGCCATTGAAGTGCCTATAAACCCACTTCACTTGACCGCCTTAAAAAGGCATGGTACACACAAATACCTAAAAGATCTTTTATACAGCAAGTATCATGTTTAACCACAATAAAACTGTATATGCTGTAAATGTTAACTTTACGCCCAAGTTGTCCTACCGACACTTAACCTGTATTCATGGTCAAAAATCTGGTCGGTCACTGCCTGCCATTGAAGTGCCTATAAACCCACTTCACTTGACCGCCTTAAAAAGGCATGGAACACACAAATACCTAAAAGATCTTTTATACAGCAAGTATCATGTGTAACCACAATAAAACTGTATATGCTGTAAATGTTGACTTTACGCCCAAGTTGTCTTACCAACATTTAACCTGTATTCATGGTCAAAAATCTGGTCGATCATTGTTTGCCATTGAAGTGCCTATAAACCCACTTCACTTGACCGCCCTAAAAAGGCATGGAACACACAAATACCTAAAAGATCTTTTATACAACAAGTATCATGTTTAAACACAATAAGACTGTATATGCGGTAAATGTTGACTTTACGCTGAAGTTGTCCTACCGACACTTAACCTGTATTCATGGTCAAAAATCTGGTCGGTCACTGCCTGCCATTGGAGTGCCTATAAACCCACTTCACTTGACCGCCTTAAAAAGGCATGGAACACACAAATACCTAAAAAATCTTTTATACAACAAGTATCATGTTTAAACACAATAAGACTGTATATGCGGTAAATGTTAACTTTACGCCCAAATTGTCTTACCAACACTTAACCTGTATTCATGGTCAAAAATCTGGTCGGTCACTGCCTGCCATTGAAGTGCCTATAAACCCACTTCACTTGACCGCCTTAAAAAGGCATGGAACACACAAATACCTAAAAGATCTTTTATACAGCAAGTATCACGTTTAAACACATTTGGTGTGTATATGCCTTAAATGTTGACTTTACGCCCAAGTTGTCGTACCAACATTTAACTTGTATTCATAATCAAAAATCTCGCCGGTCACTGCCTGCCATTGAGGTGCCTATAAACCCACTTCACATGACCGCCTTAAAAAGGCATGGAACACACAAATACCTAAAAGACCTTTTATATAGCAAGAATAATGTTTAAACACATTAGGTGTGTATGTGCCGTAAATGTTGACTTTACGCCAAAGTTGTCTTACCAACACTTAACCTGTATTCATGGTCAAAAATCTGGTCGGTCACTGCCTGCCATTGAAGTGCTTATAAACCCACTTCACTTGACCGCCTTAAAAAGGCATGGAACACACAAATACTTAAAAGATCTTTTATATAGCAAGTATCATGTTTAACCACAATAAAACTGTATATGCTGTAAATGTTGACTTTACGCCCAAGTTGTCTAACAAATACCTAAAAGATCTTTTATACAGCAAGTATCATGTTTAACCACAATAAAACTGTATATGCTGTAAATGTTGACTTTACGCCCAAGTTGTCTTACCAACATTTAACCTGTATTCATGGTCAAAAATCTGGTCGGTCACTGTTTGCCATTGAAGTGCCTATAAACCCACTTCACGTGACCGCCCTAAAAAGGCATAAAACACACAAATACCTAAAAGATCCTTTATACAGCAAGTATCATTTGACTTTTGGAAGTTTCTCAATAAATTTCGTCATGGTAACAAGAGAATATTATACATTTTCAAATAATGAATAACATTAAATACAGGCAATGCTATTGAGAGAAATCGAGCAATGCTTTCTCCCACACGTCAACATTATGTTTTTATATCTCACGCACGCGCACAACATTCCCGCCTAAATACCTATAATGTCTACTCAATCGACGCACTAAAGCTTTTCACTCGTCAAAACACTCTGAACTTTGATTCAGTTATCATCTTTGTGTTTCTTAGGCAGCGCTCAGACGCTTTGTGTCCTCATTTAAAGGGCATGTCTTCACATGTCTCTCACTATCATATTGTATTATATTTTTGGATGGTCTATATATCTAGCGTTAACTCAAATAAAACGACCTTTTATCTCCCAAAACGACAAATAGCCTCAGCTTTTCATTAATTTTGCCTTTTATATAATTTGCACTTATATTAAAGTACAGAAATGTTTTAAATGACGAATATAAAGGGCATAAGTAGTGATGAAGCTGGCAAATTGCCGAAGTGCGTCAGAAAAGTTACTGTATATATATACGTTACTGTATCTATATAATGTATATGCCCATTTTGTATATGCATTGATATAAATATAATATTATTACTAATATATCGATATACACTAGAAACTTATAAATCTGCATATTAGTCTAACATTAAACTCAAGATAAAGCATAACAAAATTATTTTCATAAAAGTTAATAAATTGAATAATTGCAAATAAAGTTATCGAATTAAATCAAAGATTACACAACGATGTTATACAATAAACACGATTCGGGTGATGCTCAAAGAATAGATTAGCATTATTCATAAAGTTAAGCAAAATACAATAGACTTGTAATAGATTTAATACTAATTCCTTTAGAGTTATTATGTATTAACCCCATAAAATCCCACAATATTATCAATAGAATTAACATTAATCCCATAACCATATCATTGTCTCTAAATTCAGCATAACCCATGTTAACCTTTTGTCATAAACTTAACACTGTCCATAGACTTAGCATTGCCCATATAATTCATATGCCATAGACTTAGCATTACCCATAGGATTAGCATTGCCATAGACTTAGCCTTACTTATGTTTAAGTATAGCCATAGACTTCAGCTGATACCCGATTTTAAATCTAATAAGATATGGGGCCGGGAAAGGGAGGGGGCAAACGATCCTATAAACCACATTCTTTATATATAAATCATAGTTAAAAATATTTAACAAAGATGTATGACCGATTGTTGGTGAGTTTCCAAAAATAATATAGTTAAGTTTGCCCAAAATGCCGATCACACCCGCATCGTGATTAGCGTTAATGTGAATAAATCAATTGTGAATTGTTTCGGGGGCCGCTATCACTGGCCAGCAATTATCATAAAAGTTTATGGCACGGAATTTTTTACGTTTGATATCTAGCTTCCAGACTCATAACCAATATCACACATTTTTCTTAGTGCTTTTCAATACGGATTTGGGGTGCGGTTCGGTTATAAATCTGGAACTGGATAGTGTGTGGCCGGAAATCATTAATCATTAATTTAAATGATAGCTAGATATCAAATGCATAAATTCCATTCCATAAACTTTTATGA